AAACAAAATATGTCAAGTTATGATATTCTGACTTTGTGCTAGAGACTGTTCACAAATATGAAATGAGAGAGTCATTTTTCGGTAACCCTAAGTGAGAGGCATTGAACCACCTTATCTAATACTTTATGCTATTAGAGGGGAGATAAGTTTAATTGTGTAAATTTGAATGGCGGACATCATGGTCCTTGAGATGGTTGACTGGAAAAAATATATATATTAATCTTTCCACAGCAAGTTGCTTTGTCTTTTCAAGCAAGTTGGAAGACTATTAATAAGACAATGGTGAATTCAATGATAAAGACTTTAATGTGAACCACTTGAATAAATGTATAATTGGGTACATTGTGAGGTCAAGTCTATTTGTTTTTAATCCTTAGAACAAGTCATAATATATTATATTTAGTCCTTTTTTGAGACCCTTTATTTTTCATAAACCCATTTATCTTTAAACTTATTTTCATTATATGTTATTTCCATAAAAAAATTTTACTCACAAATTCAAGATTTTTCTACTTTAAACCATAAATTCTCCAAAAAATTCCAATCACAATATCTATTTTCTAAAAAATGAGGTTCAAACAAACCCTTAGTATTTCAATCTACGCCTCGTTGATTTGAGTGACTTTGTATTGTAATTGAGGCTCATGAATAGATGTGTATGAAGTTTTCTACCCCATTGTGCACACTAAGAGGAATTGGGGCCAATGAATAGATGTATATGAGGACCACATGTTGTAGCCCATTGCGCACGCTACGATACGTATAGAGAAAAAAAATTAATTGGATAATAATTTCATTGATATGAAATAAGTTACGTTACATGTCATGCGGCGCGAAATAAGGAATTCAAGCGAAAATATTAAGTATATAGTAGGAACGCGTTTCAATTACTCACTAAACTTTGAAAAATATCTTTGTTTTGCCGTGGAAAATTCGGGTTTAATTAGTTGGTTTGACCAATTATTTTAGTGGGTCCCGTTAGTTGGACAAAAGATTTCTAAGATTAAATTGTTGTTGTTAGTCACTCGGCTTACAATGAATTTCATATTGGTCTCCAAACTTTACTATTCCAAAGTGGCTACTGAAGTTAGCTTTGTATTTCAATTTTGTTGCTAGTTTAAATTTTATCGAATGCCTGACATGGTAGATAGCAATCTAACGTGAGCATCTTCCCGCATTATACATTTTGTTAGAAACTTAATGCAATTTAATTGAACCGTCAAACTGAAATAACTGTTTATTACTACAAACAAAATATGTCAAGTTATGCTATTCTGGCCTTGTGCTAGAGACGGTTCACAAATATGAAATGAGAGAGTCATTTTTTCGGTAACCCTAAGTGAGAATCGTTGAACCACCTTATCTAATACTTTATCCTATTAGAGGGGAGATAATTTTAATTGTGGAAATTTGAATGGCAGACATCATGGTCCTTGAGATGGTTGATTGGAAAAAAAATTATATTCTTCTCTTTCCACAGCAAGTTGCTTTGTCTTTTCAAGCAAGTTGGAAGACTATTAATAAGACAATGGTGAATTCAATGGTAAAGACTTTAATGTGAGCCATATGAATAAACGTATAATTGGGTACTGATCCACTCCCAAATTTTACAAAGAATCTTCAGATAAAACAAGAGCTATATTGTGAAGTCAAGTCTTTTTGTTTTTAATCCTTAGAACAAGTCATAATGTTTTTCTATGCATTATTGCGGATTGGATGGTCTTTCTAAAAATTATTCCATTTCCACCGAATCAAACATAAAAGAAAATGGGCAAGTGAATTGTGAATGAAATCAATAGTTAATTCACAGATTACAATTTTGGGGAAACTTGTTCTTCGAAAAATGAATTATGTGGAAGTCTCGTCTTTCCAAGTAATTCTTTGCATGAAACTAACTTTTGTGAAAATTTGGACATAGTTATTTAATTTTCAGAAGAGTCCTCAACTTTCCTATACCTACCCAAAAGACCTCGGCCGAGTTGACTAATGTTCG